GTGCATCTGATGATGATAATGACAAAGACCCATCAACTCCTTCAGCACACGTCATTAATGTATCTGATGATGATGACAATGATTATTCAAATAATAACCCACCAAATTCTTCTATATCTATCATTAGTTCATCTGATAATGATGACAATGACTATTCAAATAATAACCCATCAACTTCTTCAGCACCTATCATTAGTGCATCTCATGATGAAAACAACTCAAATAATAACCCATCAACTTCTTCAGCACCTATCATTAGTGCATCTCGTGACAAAAACAACTCAAATAAAAACCCAACATCTAATTTAGCACATAATACTGATGATGATACTGCAAAAATCTTTTATCTTATGCCATCCACTTCTGCAGATGGCACACATACACATGTAATAAATGATAAAATTGATGTTGGACAACGTGAGCATTACTCATGTATAATTCCATCGTGTAGGTCATTCTATAGAACTTTCAAAGGATTCAAAATACATTATCGTCGTCATCGTAAAGTTGTAAACTCTGTGGTGTGCTGGAAATGTAACAATACATTTCCTAACATGAGCGTCATGCGATCACACCAATTTAATCGTTCGTGTATGTTTCCTGGTATGTTTACCTGTGCTTTATGTCCAAAAAAATTTGATGACCTTGAGAGCTTAAGCATTCATAAATATGTCGAGCACGTTAACAATCAGCCAAAATGGCTATGTTTGAAAGTATTCAATTCTTAATATGAAACTGATGACTCTTAACATTTTAGTTATTATATAATTATGAAATTTAAATAAATTATAAGTGTTTAATATTATTTAATCAATTTGTATTTTTAACTTTTTCTATATTCTTAATTTTTAATTTTTTCTTAATTTGTAATTATTATTATTATATCAATGTATTATAAATTTTAAAAATTTTCAGCATAGGTATAATAAATACCTACAACTTTGATATAATATTACTTCAATTTTATTATTTTGTCAGATCATTTTCATTTTTTTTATTCTTAATGTATATATTAAGCATTATACCAACTCAAAAATAACTTGTTATAATTTTGATTTAAATCAGTGTTTTCCAACCTTAAAGATATTTAGACTTAGTAAAGAGATCGAAGATTTAACACATAAAATTGAACTCGCTAAATAATAATCTAGGATTAAATTTAATTCGATACATGATACATGTATTTGTAGCTGTTTTTTTTTTGTAGCTGTTTTTTGTTTGTAAAAGTTGTTTTTATTGCAGTTTTTCAACAAGAAACTCTATATAACAAATCTATGTAATTTAAAGTGCAGTATTAAATTATACTTAATAATTCCAGAAGTCAGAAATTGAATATATTTATTATTAAAAAAAAAAAAAAAAGGTTCATGTATAAACACACATTTTACTAGAAAATCCCAAATGATTGAATTTCCTACTTCTTTGATAAGTTTATCTTGAAGTAAAACTAAAATTTATAAATGAAAAATTGTATAAAAAATGTATTTAAAAAAACACTATTATCCTCGCTATTATCATTTTAAAAAAAAATTTGAGTGCAATAAAATATAATTTATTATTGAAGCACTGAATGCGATAATCAAAACAAACACCAAAGTATGTTATTAAATTATTAAGTTAACCTAAGTCAATTTTATCAATTGACAACTAAAATTTAACTTGAAAAATATAAATTACCTACTAATATAATATTTAGTAATACTTGACTGAATAATTTGAAAATAAGTTATATATGTTCTAAACATTTTTAAACAATAAACGTATCTGGTTTTTGTACTCAGTTATTCAGCCTTTTAAAAATTACAAAATCAAAATTTTGCATTTTAATACTACTTTAAGTACCTAGGTTTTTTTTATTTACCTATAGCATTATTTTTTAAATACTATTGGTTAACAAATATGTTTCCTAATAAACAAAATTTTAACTAAAAAAGTGCTTTATTATAACATTAAATCATATAATTTTGTATAATTAAATATATATAACAATGCTAACTAACTCAACAAACAATGTTTTGCTTAAAATAGCAATTTCAGTTTTTTCTGAAATTTTCAATTTTTTATACAACATTTACAATTTTTCTTTCTGTCAAAACCTTAAGTAGACTATAACGAACAAATATTTTGTTGTTTCCGACTCATAAGTGCGTAATAGCAAATTTGCATTCAGTAGTCCATTTTTAGTTTCATTAGTTTAAAAATTCGAGTGAATTGACCTATTATGAAACTTATCAGTAAAACCATAATCTTTATAATTTATATACTAGTATTTTATGATACTTAAATTTTTTCTTGAGAGTTATGAGTATTATTAAATTGCATTATTTTATACACACGAAACTCCCTAGAAAAATAAGTTAAACGTAATTTGATGAAAGAATCTGTGCTGCTGGGTGTAAATTTGCTATGTTATGCACTCGAGGTTGCTACTAAAAATGCAAGTGTAGCATTCTTTTAAATAATAAATTATTATCATAACACATTTCATATATAATTACACATATTAGGTATGTAAAATGTGTACTTTTAAATTTTAATACGTTTAGAAGTGGGATGACTTAGTAAACTAAAAACTACTCTTTATACTTCGAATAAAAATCATATCGCTCTATTTTTCTTTCACCAGTTCACCACTATCAGTGATGTACTTGCGAAAATTAAGTTATTTAAAATTTTAAATATTATTATTGTTAACTTTACGACTTACCGTTACCGGGATAACAGTCCTTTGTTGGCATCATTCTGCATCCAAATAGATGAGTTAGTATTTGAAATGAATTTCTCTCTTCTATAATTGGTATACACACTCAAGAAGATACACGACAAAAAAGAAATCATAAATTTAATGTTAAATTCTTTTAAGTATGGACGAAAGTCGATATCTTAATGATAAAAATAATTGAACAATGAACAGAACAAATGGATGTACATGTAAGATACAACTGACTACGTCGAAGACTGGCTAATGAGAGGTGAGGCTTTGCATAGAAGTAGAAACTCTCGCCGCAAATAGGCAAAAGTGGGAGGTCAGTCAACCACTCCCCACTCCTAACGAATGTATTGATATTTTAAGACATAAATATAATAAAACATATTATAAATCATTCTTACTCATAAAAATTCATCAACCTTAAACCTACGTCAAGCAAAATTAATTTTTTTATGGTCAGCATATAATAAGTACAATAATTACGGTGCTAACAGCCAAGTACTTTTATAAAAACTGAAGATAAATGTTAAATTATTGGTCCTTTAAATTTTAATCATTTTAATGCAAGTACAATGATGGTATTGAATTTTTAATCGATAATATTATCGTATAGACCATATGGTATATTATTGCAATATTGCGTATTGTGATATATTAAAACAAAACATATTGTTTGAAAACAAAAAAAAAAGTATAGGTAATACTATAAATATAGATAGTCTAGCAGGTGCGCCGAAACCTATATTGACGTAGGGTGATTACCATTTACCTTACATATTGAAATGGGTGGGTGGATAGTAGTTGATACCTAGACTGTAACTGTAAGAAAGAAATATAAATTTACCTAATACACACGTAGTGTAATAATTATTTATATATACCTACATAATACCTATAGGTAGATAGCTTGGAAATAACAATAATGTAGTAATTTTAATAACTTATAGGTAATGAATAACGGTTTACAAGATTCATAATTCTCATATTAAAAATTATTTTTTACTGCGTCAACTGTTTAGTGTTTAACGTTTTACAGTTTTTACTTTGTACTTTTGTAGTTACTATTTAATGTGAAATAGCAACAGACGGCACATCTACACAATTGTAATTATTGTCAACAGAAAACAATAATTGTATTTGGGAAAGATTTAAAATTATCGCGGAATATCGTATTCACACGGAATACCCGTGAAGATGTCAGTATGTTATTAAAATATTTTTAAGTTTTATGGTTTTATTATGACTTATGAAAGTATATTATGGAATAATATAAAAATATATAGGTAATTATTATTTTATAAATTTTATTAATTTTCACTTTATTCAGTCATTTTAGTCTGTCGTGTACTGTTAGAATTTATTTTATTTATTTAACTCTTGTGTTAACTATAACTTTTAAACCTTATAGTGTGTGATTGTATGATTTAATTAATATTATAGTGTTGCTTGTTGGCTCTAGGTTATACGTTATCATGTATTTGTATTTATCTTTGTGATTACTGCGCGTTATTAAATATTGAATATCAGTAAGTATGTTGGAGTCTGGAGAATTGATGTGACCGTGTGATTAAAAAGAGAAAACTTAAATATAACCTATTGAAAAAGGCACCTAGACAATAATTGCAAGCAAAGAAAAACTAAAATTACATCTCAAAGCATTACTTTTTTTTTTAATACACCAAAACCGAAGACATTTTGTATAGATGCTGGTACAATTAATTATTCTTATCCAGCTCCAAATGGTAAGTTTTACTCCTTAATAAATAGTTTAAGCAAGTTAAAAATTTAATTCAATATCTATTTGACTAGGTATCTATTTATTCAGATATTCTATATTTAATGATTAAAAAATAAACTTTCATTTGAAACATTTTAAAATATTCAGTTTTTCACACAAGTGTTATGTGCCCTATAACACATAAAATAAAAATAATATATTCATAACAAAATATATTTTAATATTTGCAAATAATCCAGGCTCTAGTAGCCATAATAATATGCAAGGTTCTCTAAATAAAAACAAAAGGTGAAAATGTTTACCTACTTATATTACTATTGATATACTTAAAATATAATTGAGCATTTAAAAACAAGTAAGTGATTGTATGATAATGATCATTTTATTTTAATGCTAAACTAAATCAATAAATTATGATACAAATGAAAAATAATTATAATAATGATAATTATATAGATAATAATAATTTATTCAGTCTGGTATATTAATATTTAATATTTGTTTCTTGATAACAATTATAAAAATAATGAAATAATGTTTAGTTAAATTAAACAATATTTTATAAATTTTTTATTGTCTAGTTTTTGTTCAAAGTTTTGAAAGTCTGAAATCACAATTTTATTTATAAATAATATAAGTTTTGTTCTGGTACATATTTTAACACACATTTTTAGTTTTAGACTTTGTTGTGGGTAATACATTTAGTCAAATTGTGAAACAAATTGATTAAGATTATGGTAATTCTTTTTTAGATGTAATTCAGAATGATGGTAAATATTTATAAATACTTAATAAAATAAAGATTGGTAATATTTTTTTTACATTTATATGGATTGTTTAAAAAATGATCTAGCACATTTTGTTATGTTGAAACATTTAACACCGTAAACTAGAAATTTAATATTAGAATTTGGTCCTTGTCAATCATTTTTAAATGATATTCTAGGAAAGAGTTTTCCTAAAGATGTTACTAAAGAAAACAGAAGCTTTATATTATTATCGAATTCTTCCTGACAAAACTAAATTTCTCCGTGATAGGCTGTCATATTCTTCAAGCACAAACAAAATGTATTACATGCATTTTTTTTTATTTGGGACAAATTAGCATACAAATCTGGAAAAATCATGACAAAAAATAATTATAGTATCCTTAAAAATTTAAATTAGAGTCACCCAACTGTTTTTATAGAAATAATTATTATCAATTATTAATATTAAATTATCTATTTGTGTATAAATAATTTATTCACTATTACAATAACTCTCATAAAGATTAATATCCAATGAAATTTAAAATAATTTTAAAAAAAATTTGAACCCTAGTTATAAAATAATAAAAAAATTTTATTTTTAATTTATGTCTTTAGAAATAATTTATATTACTTACTCATACAACTATATAGAATTAATACCCTATTCTGCTAAATTAACAAAATACAAAAACTTAAAATGTATTTTTAATTTTTATTACAATATAAATATACAAATAACTAAAATACTTCAGTTATTGTAAACATTTTTCTTACAAAAAACTGATTCTCTATAAAATACAATAGACGTCATGAAAATATATTTATTTTATCATTATTATGGTGATATTTAACTGATAGTTAATCATTTATTTGTTTCTAAACAATATATTATGAATTATGGATCTAGCATAGAAGTAACTCCTAATCAAAATAATATTTTTTCATAGTTACACTGCGAATTATAAAAAGTCTACATAATCATTGTTTTATGATAAAAAAAAATAGATTTAAATTCTAAAAAAAACAAGACCCATTTGAAAATATACTTTAAAATATACTAAACCCAAGTAAGTACCTACTTTAACATGTTTTAAAATATTATGACAACGACTGGCTATTGATTTTTGATTTTTAATCAGTGACTGAATCTGGTTAACTTAGCTGACAACAAAACAATAAAAAAGAAGACAAAAATAAGAAACTGTTACTTTAAATGAACAATTGATGAGTATTATTCCAGTAGTTAGGACTAAATTATTGAAAATGAAGTGCCAATTGACATATTTGTTTAATACTTGTATAAATAATGGAAAATTAAATTAAGGTAAATGATTTACATATTATAAAAATGTTTCTAAATTTATTGATCAAATAAATATACCTAGTTTGTAATCTATTAAAAATATTATAACGATTGGATGAGCTTGGATACTCTGATTTGAAATTCTTAAAGTACTTAGTAAAGCTACACATTAAAACAAAAAAAAAAACGAATTAGGTATCTTAAAATATTTTTGTAAAAATTAAATCATTGTAGGTACTAGATATACTCGTTGTTTCATAAGTCATAACATTAATAATAATATTATTATAGTTAAGCAAACATTACAAAAAGTACGACATGCAATTTATCAAAAATTACGTTTATACGTTATCAGTTATCACAAACATTAGCCGCAAAGATTATGATAAGATACGGACAACAAATTACAACAACAGCGTTGTTGTTGAGTTAGGTTATGTTTGGTCAACGATGACGAAACTTTTTTAATCGATTGTGGTACCATCTGTTGTATTCGTAAGTAAATAATATGATTTGTCTGCACTATCGTGGTGCGTTACACGCTAGTCGCCAGGCATCAGTTGCTTCATCGAAGGCTTACGACGTTGACATATGTCTGTATTGCACCGGGACGCGATATAAGAACCTTTTATCAACTCCGTGAGAATCAGCACGTATAATTTGCATTTATTAGCACCGTAAGATCTACTTCCAGTTTCCTGCTCAACATTTCTGTTTTGCGACAGTACACGATTAACAACCAACAGACGAAGGAACAGATTCAGTTTCGTGGTAAGCACTTTATTTGCTGCAATTTTACAATAAAAAACTAATTACGGCCGATCTATTTACGAGCATCGTCAACCACCGTTTTCTTTTCACAAGTATTGATTTGCTTATTGGAAGTCTCTTATAATGTGTAATATCCTGTGGTGAAGTGAGAACAGAAACCGTCTAGAACAGAAGTCACTAATTAATATTTTTAAAGGGCCACATTATAAATCAGAAAATTTTTTGCGGGCCATTAAAATTTTAAGTACATATTTTTAATATATAATGGGTATTATTTTAAAATTGGATGCAATGAGAACATTTGTTATTATTCTTTGTCTACGGGCCGGATAAAATTTGTTCGGGGGCCGTATGCGGCCTGCGGGTCGCCATTTGGTGACCACTGGACTAGTAAAATTCCCTCTTAGCTAACAGTATATATTATGCTCGCCGATTGAACCTCTCTCCCCCACTCCATTTCCTCTAGTACTCTTATGTGCTTTCCCTTTCCATAACAACCCGGTCGTTATTTGTTCAAGTCAATGGTTATCCCCCTTTTCCATCCTAGCCGCTGCGCACTAAACGCAATTCTTCCAAGCATGTGTTTAACATTCTTTGTCTACAGAATCTGTAGCGGGCTGAATAATTTCTAGTCATGGAATAAAATAATGAAGAATCTACCTACCCAAAAGATGGATATTTATGTTTGATAGATAATTTTTACTGCTAAAAATCAACACCGTTGTTTATATTATGTATTTCTTTAAATTATTCAAATTTTTTCACTTAAAAAAAATCTGCTCATCAACATAATTGTCATATTGGTCAATATTTGTAGGGCCTAGTCATAGATTTATAATAAAATGTATTATGCCCGTAGTCTATAGGCCTAATAAGAGTATTTGTCACCCAATTATAATCGATTACTGATTAGGTTATATTGATCTATCCTTTTCATTGATTGTACCACTTATTTCTGTCGCTATTCATAAATTCTATTCACCATCATTGTGCATTAAGCGTCATTATACAACACCACATAGTTAAACGTGCGCATTTCGCCAAAAACACTCTATTTGTCACATTTTTTGATCGTCATTTTTACAACGATCACAATATTGGTAGTTACTTTGGTATTTCACGATAATAAGCAATATGCATATATACACAATGGTATGCGAATGGTTACAGTCGGTATTTGTCAGTGAGGTAATTAAGAATTTGCTTCTTTTTTATTGATGAAGAAAGATCATACATTTTTAGTATGAACATGTAAACTCCATATAGTCATATTTCCTCAAAAACATCAAACTTTTTAAGGAACATGATTTTTAAGTGTATGTCAAATACTATGTTTTGTGTTCTCTCTAAAACCTGTAAACAAAACATATTCATATAAAATTATTTTTAAATAATCTTATAGTAAAATCACCTGTATATAGGTTAATATTTTTGAGGATTTTACACATCGGCTTCATGCTTGATTTTTTATACAACTTCAAAATATAATTTTAAATCAATATTAAATTATTTTGAGGTAATGAATAGATGTATCAAACCTTTAAAAATATTATTCTCTATCATTTTTTGTAGTAGGCTTTGTAGTAGATTAAAAAAAAATTTGTGTGATACGTCTTGTCTTTGTTCATTGTAAGCCAGAGATTACAAAAAGTACGTTGACATTCATTTAAAATCATAGTTGACTACTAAATATAAGTTAATGTAGGTACAATTATACTTATTACTAATATAACTTATAAGTTATAACTTTTGATTATCATTGATTAATATTATTTAATATAAAATTGATGTTAAGATAGCTGATTATTAAATAGTTTTATAAAATTAGATTTAATATTCTTGATTTTTTAATATTTATAAATATCTACTTTATTTTTAACAATTTTGATTTTCCTATAAACAGTTAATATAGTTGTTAATAGGCGTGCTAGCAATAACAAAAAGTATGCCAATTATGAAAGTGGAAACGGGTGATTCGGGCTTTTACCAATTGTTTGGGCGCATAATTTTAATACAATTTTATATTATCTGCTATAAAAATATTAGATTCCATATGTTATAACTATATTATTTTTATTTAGTAATAAAAATTTAATTTTTTTTAAATTTATTTTTTGAGAATATTTTAAGTTTGAATTGTCATTAATTCATTAAAAAAAAATAAATACTATATAAATATCTAAATACTTAGATCAAAATTTAGACAGTAAAAAAAAATTTGGATTAATGTATTACACTGCTTTCTCTCTTAATTACACACCTGGTTTTGTCCATAGATTCTAGTACAAATCCCCATGACACATTTCATATAGCATTTATCGATTTTTTGACTTTGTTGGCCAATTTTTCCAGAATTTCAAATTATATTTTATGCTGAGGTTTTCTATAGACTCTATTGTATTGTGGTTTTACCCACATTGATCTTAAACACTTAGATTTATGGCATTTCTATTTTCACTAAACGCAATTTTTTTCATGTTGATATAACGGAGAGAAACGATTATGGTTTTTAATCACTTAAAAACTTCTATTAGTATTATAGAAATAAAAATTTAAACTAGAATTAAAAGAAATACGACCAGTGGCTTGAATATATTTTCTTGGGGAAAGAGGTTACTAATTTATTTCTTAACGTTTTTAAATTTTTTTCATATTTTTATAATTAAAAATCTGTAAAATATGCTTGCATAATGCATTGATTCATACATTTAATACCTTTAAATTATGCACTTAATTAATTTTTGTATCTTTAAATTAAATAAATCGGTTAAATTAAATTTTTATATTAAATACATTAAGTTATTAATTAGGTGCATACAAAAATTGAATTGAACATTTTATTATACATATAATTAGTATTCACTCATCTTAACAAAGATTGGAACGAATGTCAATTAAAACAATTCATATTTATTTGTATGTATTACCCTTAAGTAGAGATAAATGGATATTTCATTTAATACTTATTATTTAATTTTACTCGAGAATAATAAAAACATAATAATATACATTATATTTTTTTTAAATGTTAAACATACATAATGATTGAAAATTTTCCAAATATGCAAAAATATACAACAGATCAATTTAGTTTTAGGTTGAATTAGATCAATAGTTTTACGTAAATTTCCCGCTTTATTTTTATTTATTTTATATTTTTCTTAGTTATTAAAAAAAATTTACATTTTTTTACCTTTATCACTCCAAAGTACTAACTAGGTTCTTTTTAATATCACAAAGAAAAATTAAGTTGAAGATAAAACTTTTTTTACTTCTTCTAAATTTAGTTAAACACAAATGAAAAATATATATTATTGTAAAATCAATTCATTCGTTGCATAACAATGAAATTTTTTTACTATTTTGTATAGGTATATTGTTAATTAGAGTAATCACATAGTTTGTCATATATTTCATTAAGGTAGAACATGATTGTGTATTTTTTATACCCTTGTGCTGAATAAATTGTAAAGCCTAAAATAAAAAAAACCAAACAATACATTTTTTGATAATTACATAAAATTTAATATTTTTGTTATGCTGCTTATTTAATTTACTTAGTTATAAAATGTATCAATCAGAGATTGAGAATTAAAATAACAATAATAATAATAATAAGTTCCATAATATACATATTTTTTAAATTTAATAATTTCTTTTGTATTTACAAAACTATAGGATCCCAATTTTTGAGGACCTCGGGGCTGCAGACTACCCAGCTCCTCTCTAAATCTGATCTTGTAGCTTATATAACCAATGTATTATAAATAATATTAAGAATATTTTTAAATATTATTTAATTAGTCCAACAACGTTTTATGATTGGCTTGTCAAATGTATAAGTGGTTCTTTAAAAATGTTGTCTACAAGTTAAATATCTATCTATCAAAATAAAACAGTACAAAAATACAATTCTCAACAAATGTTGATAACTATCTATACAATTTAAAAATAATTATAATTAAATAAGTATTAATATATGAAATATATTTCCTCAATAACGTAAAATATTGATCTGCCGCTGGTCATTTTATTTTGAGAAGCTGTAGCTTGTATTTTGGAAATATTGTCTAATAACGTAAAAAATGTACGTAGAAATGTTTATAAACTAAATTTTACGTTGTTTATAATATTAAAATATGTATTACCTATATAATTTATATCAAATATAGTAGAACCCCTCTCATCCGCCCTCGACTGGTACGCCGTTCCGGTTGATCCGACCATAGTATAATCGATATGAATACTATGTAATTTAAAAATACAATTTGGATTTTCTACTTTATAGAAAATATTATATAAAATTAATTGCTATTTGAATATTTCCTTTATCGTTTGTCCGTTTTAGTACTCCGACCTCTCTCGTATCGTTTCTACCAGTGTGCGTATTTTGAAATATTGCAGTTAAGTCTAGAATGCCATTTACTAAACAAAAATCTATAACTGACTTTTTTCTAAGTAATGTAAAATATAATAAATTTCTGATATAATCTTGTAAATAAAAAAATGTTCTGTGTATTCTGATAATCCAACCTTTTTCGCGTTCCGACCACACCCCTAGTCCCGAAGGTGACAGATTAGAGAGGGTCTACTGTACCCATGTTCTATTCCTATTATTCATTCTGCAACAACAATTTAACCGCCGGTTGTCATTTGCGCATTGCTATTGTTAATTTTGTTAGACATTTGCGCATCATTCGATTTTTGGATTATACATCATTTGCGCTTTGGCCGTTTAAAAGGTCTTACGTCATTTGCGCATCAATATTATTTAACAATAGAATTTAAAAAAAGGTGTGTACCCAAAAGTGCTAGTTGTTTTCTAACTTTGATCTTGAAATTCATTCATCAACTTTCAAATATTGTACAGATATTTCTGTTTTAAAATATATTTTACGACGCATATGATAGAGAGAAATGGAGAGATTTTGTGATGGCATTTATTTTCAATTTATTCGAATTATATTTATATTTGTACTTTATGACTGTAATGTACTGACAAAAGTGTTCATTTCAATATGTGTATTTGTATAATTATTATGACTGCAATTCAATTTATTTTAATTATATGAGTTTATTTATTACTTATGATTTATGGAAATCATTACATTTTCAATCAAAAACTATTTTTTATACAATTCTATTGTTCAACATGTTAATGCGCATTTGATGTATGATAATTTAGTGCAGGTAAAACGGATAATGCGCAAATGATGTACGGTCAATTTAATATTCTGTACAACTAATAACATAACACATAAATCAGCAAATGACATTATCAATTTCTGATTTTACAGAATGCATAGCTATTAGAATAAAAACTTAGACTATGGGAGTTAAATATAGGCCAGAAAAGAATGCATACCTACTTACCAAGTTTAAAGTAATTAACTTGAATGTAAATTAAAAGCAAATACAAGTAGATAGATTGTTTATTATAAAGGTACCTTAAAACTATATTTTAATAAAAACCCTAGTATGATAAAAATTATTATTTCATTGGTCAACATTCAGCAGTAAATAATTATCATTTTTTTTTTTTACGTGTTTTATAAGCCCGTATAAAAATCTCAATTTATACAATTTATTATACCATGTGCGAAGATTTTCGAAAATTAATTATAGCATCTTATCTTTGAATATTTTATAAAAGCTTTTTTTTTAAGAATTAAAAAAGAATATATCAGTGGTATTAAAAAAAAAAAAAACAATTAAATGTATGTATTTAAACTTATAATGTATAATTTGTTATTAGGTGGACTTAGCTACAGCGTTGAAGATATACATTTTTCAATATGTCTCATATTGAAAATTCTAATGGCAGACAGCATGTAAACAACAATGTTGAATCAAATCTATCTGGATCAATTCAATCCAAAAAAGATGGACAAAATTTAGTTGCAGCCACTAATGCTCTTCATATCACTAACGAAACTCGTTCATGTACACAAATCAACGTAACTAAATCTAATGTCCAAACAAATTCTACTATACCTAGTATGCAGAGTGATGGAAATGTACATAATTTACCTATATTTGACTTAAGTGGACCTAGTTCACAGAGAAATGACATCGGTTCTAAGGCATATATGCGACACTACGAACGTAAACCGTTAGCTGGATTAACGCCTGAGTTATGGGAACACTATAGGACTAAATATCCTACACCTAAATATTTTAAAAAAGCTCATCCCAAAATAGAATACACTCAATTACATACAAAGTGGTATCGTATAGTATCAATTTCACACGACTCAAAAGAATCATGCTCCTCTTCAAAACCTCGAAGAAATGTTCAACACAAAAAACACGGTCATCTCAATACTGCGGGTGTAACTGATTCTCAATTGGATGCGGAATGGTATCGTAAAGTGAATCGTGATGTTATTGAATCGCAGAAATCGGTCCGATCATCGAAGTTCAAAAAACGAGAACGCAAGAACCAAAATCAACATTCTACATCATCTCCGTCATCTATTCGAGCTCATTTAAACCATCATCGTCTATCAAGTCCAGTGAATAATATTCAACAAGCTAGTTCACAAACGGTACCAATTTCCTTGAACGCAAAGTCTTGCGTGAATGCAGAACACCAATCTGATAATATCATTCGTACAACGAATCTTCCAACCTTACATTATCAACTTCAAAATTTAAACAGTGATCAGTCATCAACTGTATCAATTTCTACAAGTTCTGTTCATAATGCTACTCAAGACACAGCATTAGTTCCTTCTTCGATTGCGACTATTAATTCAAATCGTGCACAAGTATTGATTGACCTTGATGATTTTGGTATTGGTACTGAAGATCTATCACTTTCTGTTCCATTAAATTCTTCCAATTCAGGAAACCATTTAACTAGAATTATCCCAACACCTCATCTAACCAATGCATCAATAATCAATGAGCCTGAAACAGTTGAAATTATTATTCGTTCAAGAAACTATGGTAATTATAGCATTATTATCTCAAATCCTACTATTATCCAAATGCATAGGATTTTGCAAAGATCTAGTTTGAGTTCAGACAACACATATTCTCCTGCAAACAATACAGTTTTGTTTGAACAAGTGAATAACTATATGCAATTCATAAGAAGGACCATAGAAACAATAGATACCGATATTTCGAGTATTTTATCTCTCATGAGTTTGTCAATTCCTCGGTTGCTCACTATTGATCAATCTTCTTATCATCTACTTCACAATGCATCTGAAAAGCCACCAGTAATTACAAATAACCGCATACAAAATGGTATTTATGATTTATTATTTAAAAATATTATATATATCAAAAATATTTTATAATGTCTAGGTTGTGTCATTAAAGAATTAACAAACTGTGCAATATGCTTGGAAGAAAATAATGGTAATGTGTTATTAGAGCCATGCAAACATTACAATATGTGTAGAGCTTGCATGGAAAGACTAACAACATGGATTTGTCCAATATGTAGAAGCCATATAACAAGTATAATTGTCTATGTTTAAGTATGATTTCTATATACAGTCAAATTCACTTATAACGATCTTAAAGATACCTATAGAATCTGAGCGTTATAACCGAACTTCGTTATATCCAGATTATAAAAAGTAATTACACATAAGATATAAAACCAACCAAATACATTGCTGGAATCGTTTTACCTGGAATATCGTTATAAGCGAATTCGACTGTGTATATATATATATATTATATACTATAAACTCCTTACTATTTAGTAACTGAGAATAATACTTGATAACACTTGATTTTCTCCTAATTTTTGCTCTCTATAAATTATACCACTCTTCTCTCAACTATATAAATTTTTCAAACTAGCAAATTATAATATATATTGTACCTAGGTTACCGACTTGTGCACAGACCAAATATTTGGGTGGTAGAATCAGTGTGAGCAGCAATCGGGCAATGCTCATTAAATCTGGTCTCCGCTCAATTACGTTTTAATTTTGATTAGAGAATATTAATTCGATTTTTTTCGCTGTAATTTAACTGTACATTGGTGATTAAATATGCTTTTCTCCTGATTGGCATAATAAATTATATCTACTATAATATTATATAGGCTGGGTATTATTGATCTAAAAAGTTAAATTGCATAACCAGTGCTTTTAATTAAAAACTTACTTTCAACTAAACTAGTTAAATGTGTTTTGATAATATGCAGTTAATAGTTAGTTAATTAATTTTAAAATAGAACTTTTTAACTAATAATCAAAACATAGATTTAAAATATATTTTGTTTAAAACAAAATATTGTTTTTCACAGGAAAAAATAGTAATTGAATTCATATATTATTTAAAATTTTATGGTAAATACCAGTTCTAAATATTAAACTCAAGACACTCTAAATATTAAATAATATAGTATTTCCGAATTTCAATAGGTATCAAAATAATGTATATGAGTACAGTTATATACATTTTCATAGAAAATTACAATTTCTATTAAACATTTGCATTTAATATCTTTTAATAGTATCACTAAACAGTTAAACGTTATAAAATATTGGTAAAATTATCTATCCTAAAATTAATCTAAATAAATCATTTCATAATTTATAAAATTTTATCTAAGGGAGGTCATCTTCTTTTCTTTTAAATTTTCTGTCAACTACTCTTTTATATTGCATTATTTTTACTATCAATTTCTGTTTTTTTATAATAATTAATTAGAAATACGATAAAAAAAGAAAAATGTTTAGTGAGTGATATTGTAATATATGTTATTTATTCTTAGTCTGCGGGCCGGATAAAATTTGTCTCGGATCGTTTGCTGTTACTATTATTTTAGGTATTTTTTCTCCCCGATATTAATTTTATGTAGGTTATTAATTATTATAATAGATTTTATTTTTTCAGCTATGTTATGATTTATAGCTATAACTTAGAAACTAGCACAAGGTTAACAAAAAAATATACCTATTAAAAAGATTTTAAAGTAATCAATATAGTTAATTTAATTATTACATAACTATTCAAATTATTGAAATAACTTAAATATATGGGCATTTTTAGATTTAATAACGCCACATTGTTACTATAGACTAGTATCACTTCTTATTCTATAACTGTGGTTATAATATTATTTAATTCATTTAAAAAAATATAATTTTTGATCTTATCTCTAAATATTTTTGGACAGAATAATTTGATATATTGCAAGTTGAAAAAATACATATTTTGAATTTTTAATAAAAGCAATGAACATATAAGTAAATAACATACCACAGGAACGATTCACTTTGAAAAAAAATCTAAAAGTAAAAAAAAATGAAAATTTATAAATTTTGACGCTTTACTTATCATAGTATACTTGTAGATTTTTTGTGTGGTAAATATTAACAAACTCTATAAAAATGTTATATTAAATAGGTGTTTCAGTTTTTGTACATTATTAAAATATTTTCAATTATTCGTAATATAAATACTAATTTGGTTGTTATGCTATCATAAAATATGTTTAGATAGAAACATGCTTTTTTGTATAGGTATTTATACAAATTTTAGTTTTAGGTTACTATTGTCTATTAGTTAAGTTAAAAATTAAATATTGCTATTGATATCATTTTTTGATTTACAAAAAAGAATTTTAAGAAAAACATGAACTTGATTGCATAAAAACCAAAATTTAAATATCAGTACTTAAAACTTCTTAAACAAAAACAGATAATTGGCTTTAGTAGGAACTCAATATATCACTCATACAACTACAGAGTCGTGTTAATTATAGTTTTTCTGAAATTTATTTTCAAAATATATTGTAACCAATTATTAATATTTAAATAATTATTGTGATTACATTTAAAAACAGAAAATAATGTGTTTGGAACCCTATGCACTTGTATTACAAAAAGTTGCTCACAGGATAAACTTTAATCTTATGCCTGGACATTATGAATTAGACTTCAATAATTTGTTTTTTAATAAAAAACATTAAGTCTGTGTAGTTCACACTTGATTTCAATTTTAAAAACAATATTTTTAAAAGCTGTAAGCCTGTAAAATTGAAATTTATGTATAACTTTGAGAATTTTGTAATTTATTTTTTTGCGTTATTTAATGTTAACTGTTAATTTAATAAATAGAGTTTAATACGATAAAATCAAGTTTTCCTCTTTTAAATATAAAAAAAAAAATCCACAATTTGACTATTTTACGATAGATGATGATTTTTCTTTTAACGTTGAATTGTATTATTTAGATGTTTTTATCTTCATTTACGGCTTAGTGTATGATCGCTGCACCAAGTAAATACCTAATTATAAATTACCTAATATTTTTTCCATTGGTAAACAGGACATCTAAAGTGGCTTGGACACATTTAATCAATAATATCTTCTTTGTAGGTATAATTCAATTTTTAATTAGAGGGACTGAACAAATTTATAACAGAATAGTGATGGTTTTGTCCTTCCTTTCATCAGTGGTGGATTCAGGGGAGCTTAGGGGCCTCGGTTCCAGACCTATTCGACAGTCTTTTTACTTACACAAATATTTTTAATAGTTTAATAAGTAATAACGTATTAAAATTGATTACACAATATCTAATATGGAAACGATTGGGTATTTTATTGCCGTTATTGGAATGAAAACATGAACAATTTTGCTTCTAAAATTAAGTGCAAATCAGATTTTGTATTGTAGAAGTTATTTTAAAATAAAATAATTTAACATTTTTAATAGTATAATAATTATTATAGGTACTTTATTAACTATAACGATTTCTAATCCAATCATAATAAAATTAAAAATGTACCCTTAAATATTTCTTTCGTATGTTTAGAAACATATAAACTAGAACATTATAATGTATATATAACTCGAATTCATTTTTTAGAAGCCCTCTCCAAAAAAAAAAATTTAACCCTGTATCCGCTACTGCCTTTCATACTCTCCTATGGTTTACCTTTAATTTTATTTTTTTAAATTCTTACTAAGTTTTTATATCTAATTTTATGATTTATTTATGCTCAAGCTTATCTAGTTAAAAAGTATAGGGATCGTTAAACCATAGTCCACACACCCACCGACAATTATTTACACTATCCAACTTTCTAAACAAAATTAATAAATTTGTATGTATATCAATTTATATTCTGTAAAAATATTATTGAAGAGAACGAGTATGTGGTTAAAAAAAATAATGGCTATAGATTTTAGTCACACTTAACAAAAAATAAAATGTTTGAATCAATATTTATATTGTTCATTATTATATAATTAAAAATGATTTTCGCAATGGATAATTTGATGAATTCCGCCTTACTTTTATACTAAGGAAAAAAGTTTATCGATTTCGCCATCAAATCGAACTGAGGAAAAATTAATCTTGAAAAATTATATTTCAATATTACTTACAATCTTACGTTATAAACTATGCATAATACGACTGATATATTTTGTTCTAAAAGTGGTAAAGTTTGTAAGGCTGTAGAGAGTTATATTTGGATCTACTAAACCGATTTATAAAATTCTTTTACCATTAAAAAGCTACATTATTTGTGAGTGTCATAGACATAAAGTTAGTAAATAATAAAATTAGTAATTAAAATATACATATAAATTTTATTGTATACTTATTTGTGGTTGTGATGGCCTGAGGATTTTCAGCTACCTGTAATCTGACCTTTTTGTTCGTCAAATTAAATGTTTGATATCTGTGTGTAGAAATCAGTTGTTCCAAGAAATAATCGCATGTACGCTAACATGTATGTATTCCTAGAAATTTAAACGATGAAATACACACCATTGTATACCTATATGATTATAAATGATATACATGTATAAATGTGAAAATGAAAATATTTGTCATTCATTCGATTATCTTATTTTTTTTTTTTAAATGAAAGAGTACACTGTGGACCAGGTTTTAGGTTTAATTTCAATTCTATAAGCTAATTGAGTTATTATTTCTTTATAAATGTATATTTTTCAATATCATTCAGCGCAGCGCGAAAAAATAACATAGACGTTGGACGTGTTATATCCGATCGCAATGAAACTTTAGGAAGTTGTACAAAAACCAAGATTTATCAATAAAAAGTCGTATGTATTAATTGATCGTTTTTCATCGGTGAAATCAAATTATACCAGCCAACAGTTTGATAAACCTTTGATTCAGAAATTATAAACTTATGTACACATCTCGCGGGATCCGCAATTAATCACAGGTGGGTTGCCTGCCTGATAAAATACTACTCACATAATGATAAGCTAGTCTCACGAGCAACGCCTAGCGGAATAGCTTTAATAATATAATATAAATTATAATCGAATTTATTTTAACTGACTCGCTGACTAACGATGAACGTATAGTCTGAACAATCACAACTTGAGGCTTGCAGTTTTTATGGTACCTTCATTCCACTATGTTCAGTGTACAATAAAAAACCATTTTACGCATTTTAAAGTAACATGCTTGCACAAATTTGTTAAAATTCAAAATGTTCAATAGAAACGTTTTAAACCTCATATTACACTAAACACTAATATTAACAAATTAATCAAAGTTTGGATCATATTATAATATAGAGTTAGCATTTTAACGTACAACGAAGTGCATAGGGTTAGTTAGTATATTATATACTTAGTTATCATTATTATTCATTACTAT